AGCTGAATAGTCAGATATATAAGAATGTAAATTCAAATATAAAAAGTTTGCTTTGCAAACTGTTTGAATAAAGTTGAAACATGGCTACTAAATTTAAAAAAATAAAAATAAAAATAAAATTGTTTTCTGAAGTTAAAATTCTATCTAAATCAAATAAGATAATAAAATTTTATAAAAATTTTAATTTTGATTTTACTATTTATAATTCTTTTTTTAAAAAAGTATTTCAAATTATCTTAGCTAAATATGACAAACATATCAATTAGTATTTCAATCCATAATTCGAAATCTAAATTGATTCTTAGATTTAGATAAACTTAGCTACTCAAATCAGAGATGTTTACTTAGATTAGTCAAAAAACTTAAATAACAAATCTAAATATACACTTAAAAGATAGCTTTAATATATAATCCGAGACAAATTCAATTTGGATTTAATATAATCTAGATGGTCTGTTAGAAATAAGATCAAAACACTAATATTAATATTTTGCAATTTCAATTTTTAATGCTACTAGATGTTTTGACCCGCGCTTTATTCAATTACAACCACACCATCACAATATGTTACTTTATAAAGATGTAGGAGAATTTAAAAATCCTACAAATGAATTAATTACAGAATGGAATTGTTTGATGATTTGGATAATTATTAACAAGAAAAACTCAAAATTTTACCAAATTTATCTAAATTAGCATTAATTTATATTTGGTTACCTATTTCGGGTATAAATGTAGAGCGTAGTTTCTCATATGTAAGAATTTTTTAAATTTCAATAACGATAAATAATATAATTTTGTGAGTGGTGAGCATCGGGGGCATAATTTGGACCAATCGCACTGAGGTCCCTACGCATCGCACTGAGGTCCATCTCGTTAATACCGACTTTGTTCAAATCAACAATTTTTAAATAACGATAAAATTTTCAAAAATTCACACCATGGCAGCATTTAATGAACAAAGTCGTTTTCAGTTTACACAACTAGAAAATATGATCTGGCATTCTTTAGACAATCATTTATATAGAAACGCAATCTTTCTTGCGGAGAGACTACATGCACAAGACCATAACAATGAAAATTCGCGTTTTTTACTGGCGACTTGTTATTATCGTAACGGACAAAAAAAAGCTGCATATACGTTATTAAAAGAAGCTCAATCAGTAAAATGCAAATATCTTTTTGCAAAATGTTGCCTGGATCTTAACAAAGCGGGTGAAGGTGAAGAAAAACTCCGGTCGGTTTTATTGGAAATAGATGACGTTTCGTCAGGTAAGATATTCCTTTATATGTCTATAACTTTTCAATTTCTCTGTGATGCCAGAATCAAAAACTGGTAGATTTTATGCCTTGATCATATCATATATGTTAGTTTGTGTGGTAAATCAAAATTCAAAATCCTTTATAATTAAAAGTTCCATATCTATAGGGAAATTCGACGTGACATGTACGGCTCTTACCCTCTATTTAATCTTATCGACTTTATTTGATCTATCTTCATTTTTATTTTTGCAGACTCATTTGGTCATATATCCAAAAATGTTCTACCAGACGCGTCTTCTGTCTTATGCCTTCTAGGTGCTTTGTGCAAGCAAGCAAAGCGTCCAGAAGATGCTGCTCATCATTATCTTTGTTGTATAAAAAAAAATCCATATATGTGGGAGGCGTTTGAAAGTCTTTGCCAGCTTGGTATTTTTCTTTGTTGCAAGATCCCTCTACGGGTTATTATAAGTTCACTATAATATCATAAAGCTTCTCATTTATGTTTAAATTTATCAGGTAAATCAAATCAAGTTGACATTGACGAAATATTCCAGTCTAACACAGAAAAATCTACAAGAATACCGTGCGCTGATTTATTTCGTAATACACAAATGTTTGTACCGCAATCGGTATGCGTACGTTATTCTTGTATCCTCCATTAATAGCTTCTTATGATAAATAATTTATGATTATTTTTTCACAGAGTTTAAAGGGTGAAAAAAGTCCGAGGAGAAGTATGCAGATTTCTTCATTGAAGGTTTACAATTTCTCATTTGTCATTAAACTTTTAATTTTTTTTTTTTTTTTTTAAAAAAAAAAAAAAAAAATTTCTTTTCAAATTCTTTAAAGTGACCAAATTTATATATTTCATGTTAATAGACTGCGTTACCATTGATATCTACACCTGTTACGGATGTTAGAGAAAAAAAAAGATCTCGAACTTCTAATGATGATAGAATTCTTATAGGCTTAGACGACGAAAAGAAACGGTCCAGAGTAACAAGAGAAGGAAAAACAATTACAAATGTTGAAAATGAAGTAGTAAGACTTCATATTATAAAAACTGTGCTAAATAATATATTTTATATTGGTTTTCTAATTTTATAAAAATTTAATAGACGGAAGCTCTGCAGAAAACTACATTAAGTCCTCAGATTAATTTGGAATTCTCGGGAAATTCTGACAAAATGGATGACATGGATTGGAAATCAGATAATAATGAATTCCTACATTTGTTAAAGCAATTGGCTAAGGGCTATGGGTATCTAAGTCAATATGAATGCGCTAAAGCGATTGAAATTTTTAAGGATCTTCCATCTTCACAATTTAATACAGCGTGGGTCCAAAGTCATATTGCGAAGGCTCATTTTGAAATGGTTAATTATCCTATGGTATGAGCTTTTACAACTACTACCCATCCGTTTATATTTTATTTACAACTATTTCCTCTATGAATCTTCCTCTATGCTATCTATATAAAAACTATCAAGGCCGAACAACATTTTCAGAAAGCGCGTCAACTAGAATCATAT